CCCCCCCCCCCCGCCCCCCGCTTCAATGAGCATGCTCACCTACCCCGTGGCTCCCTCTATAAGGAGGCTCTCATTTCTGGTAGAGTGCTAAGACGCCTCTACTAAAAGGCTTATCTCTACCCCTTCAACTGACCATCAGATTCTCAAGTCTTCAAAGAATGAGAGCTGTGACCCGGAGTTGCCCCACTGAGCAATAAAGCTCAGCTGTGCCACAGAGCTGTGTTTCAGAGCCACCTCACTGAGTTGTAACACTTGGCTATAGCACAGAGCTGCTCCTCTCTGCTGCAACACTTCTGAGCATCCCAAGACTAAGCCCTAACTTCCATGGGAACCTCTTCCCCACCCCACCCAATGGCTGGTGCAGGCCCAAGACCACACGTTGGCATTGCTATGGAGAAGAGGCCCTGTGAAAAGCCACTGTCACCTTTTAAGGGAAAGAGAGCCAGGCCTGGGCACTGATGGGCAGCCCTGAGAAAGGTTTCCTCCCCTATGATGTCATACAGAAAGGGTGGGGTGTGGCAGAATGTGGGTGAGCACCATTACCAAGGCACTTGCCACACAGGTGGCTGCCAGAAAGGTTCTAGCAGACCTAGGGTCAGCACCCTACTGGCCTAGATCTGTGCAACTGAACCTTGCCCTGTCATGTTTTTGCTTTGTTTCTGGGCTACACTGTTGCTGCACTGGCAACAGATGTGCCTGCCCATCCTGGCTGTCCCACAGCCAGGCTGGACCCCATACCGAGTTCACTTGAACTCTGTACCCCTAGCAGCTAATAAGGCCTCTTCCCTCGATTCTGATCTCCTGCTCGAATCACTCACTGCTCTTACTCCCCCAGAAGAGCCTGGGGGCTTTGTTTACCCAGATTCCTCAGTGCCCACCAAGATGTTGTCTCCACCTCAGAGGTTTGCTGGACAGCTGTCCCCACAGCTGGTTAAGGTTGCCGCCCCACCTGAAGGTCTGCGTACCAAGCTACCTTGGCAAGAGAGGCTCTGAAAACTGCTTCTGAGGTCTGCAGCTGTTCAGGCAAGGCCCGCCGAGGTGACGCTTCCACCACCAAACCTGATTCTGGGCACAGTTGGACCTTTGGACCCACAGCTTACCAGAACTCCACCATGGACTGCAGAAGCTAGAATTCCTCCAGCTGTGCAGAAGCCCTCCTCCCAGCCTGCAGACCCCACTGAGTCTGTCACTCAACCTCCAGTGCCTCCGGAGACAGGAGCTCCAAGTCCTGGTCCGAAGCCCACTCAACATTGCCCATCATGCCCGGTCACAGGCCCACCTTCCCACGTGGATCCCAGCAGCACTGCCGTGCCCTCCACAGGGGCTGCACACTCTCTGTCCCTGCAGAAATCTACAGCTCCTGTAACACAGACTGGGGTAACGTTGCCACGCCCGGACCAGGTTCAGGCTCAGCATCCAATCCTGACTGAAGTCACCACTCAACCAGCGGAGGTGAAGGCTCTAACTGTGCTAAGTGCACAGAGCAGCACGACACACAAGGACATGTGCGAGCTCTGTTCCTGCCAGGAGGCGACCCTGTCTTGCACTGACCTCGGCCCCACCCGCAGGCTGCATGAGGTGCCTGCCCTCGAGCCCAGTGCCCACAACAGGACCTTCACCATCTTAAATTTCCAAGGAAATTCTATTTCTTCCCTTGATAAGAATGTTTGGAGAACATACCAGTGGGTTGAGAAACTAAATCTCAGTGGAAACTCCCTGACTGAATTACGAAAAGACTCCTTTGCAGGCCTGCTGTCCCTGCAGTACTTAGATTTATCCTGCAATAAAATACATTCAATTGAAAGAAGGACATTTGACTCACTACCCTTTTTGCAGTTTGTAAATCTTCGTTGCAATTTTGTTTCTCAGATCAGCTACGGAACATTTCATGCATGGCATGGGATGCAGTTTTTACATCAAGTAGTCCTCAACAATAACCCTCTGACAACTATCAAAGATCCATCTGTTTGTAAATTACCAGCATTAAAACACCTAGACTTGGGAGCAACACACGTGCCCCCTGCAGTGCTGGAGAATATCCTCACCATGACTCTGGAGTTGCAAAAACTGATCTTGCCAAGCCACATGGCCTGCTGCCTCTGCCAAATTAAGAGTGATATCGAGGTTGTGTGCCTGACAGTCAAGCTGCACTGTGACAGCACCTGTCTGTCCAACACTATGCAGTGCCTTGAGGCAGCAGCCATGGGGAATGTGGATGGGACACTCATGAAGGCGCTACAGGCCCGGAACAACAGCACCAGCACTCAGCTGAGCATCGAGCCTGAGACGTCATCTTCGCAGCAAAGTGTGGCCCCCTGGTTGGGCATCATGAGCGACCAGCTCAAGTTTGATGACCCAAGTGATGTGATCAACGCCCTCAGCAACGCCCTCAGCTCTGTCTCTCAGAGGGAAACCCAGAGGCTGTGCAGTCAGCTCTACTGCCACTCATTGCAAGGCTTTTTCCAAATGCATTTCATGGAGATAACACAGATTCTTTAAAAAAGGATATAAAGAACTCCTCCTTTATCCATGAATCCAACAAAAATAAATTGGAAGAGCTGAATCTGCTCAGAAATTGGTCAAATGTAGAAATTCAGAAAAAAATGGAGGAAGTTAAGAAGGAAGAAGACACTGTCAGGTGTATACAGCCCAGCATTTTGGGTCCCACCTTGGAGCCCCAAATATCTAGAACACTGGGAAGGGCTCCAACACAGGAAAACAGCATGGTGGAGAACCTGAGAGGAAGAAGGCTGCACACAGTGGACAGGGGCCTCAGGGGCCTGAAGGGCACAGGTAAAAGGCTGCTGCAGGACAGGAGGAAGCAGCAGGTCAGGGACAGGCAGGTCACCTGGCCCCTTGCACAAGCAGCCTCGGGGACCCCAGTGCCACAGAGCTGGAGCAGCATCATAGGGGCCCCCAGCCCCAGGAACCTGGAGAGATTCTCCATCCTCACAGAAGGACAGAGGGTGGCCACCCCTTCCTCCCTGCCAGCTCCCTGGCTGGGCAGGTCCCCCACTTCCACCCCTGCCAGAGCCCAGCCTGTGGTGAGAAGCAGAGCAAAAGACTTCACCCACAGCATACGGTTTCTAAACCACGGGCAGGATGGAGTGCTAAGAATGAAGGCAACTCCACCTGCCTGGCAGTCACAAAAGAGTCGTTGCTTGGCTGAAATGCTCTTCCCTGTGTCCCTCAGAACAGCCCAGGCCAACCCAAGGGCACAGCTCACCAAGGGAAATGCACGCAGCGACCTGAGCCCAGCAAAGAGGCCTGGGTTCCGGTCATGGAGGAGCCTCATGGACTCCCCTCCAGGAGGCTTCCCGTCAGCACCAGGGGACCTGAGTGTGTCTGCTGCAGACTCTGCCTCTGGCTCAACCTCAGCCCCCACACACATCACCTCCCCAGTGCTGCTGTCCCTGGGGGTCGGGTTAGAAACACAGCTGAATCACTTGCTGGAGCCACTCATCCCTGACGACAGCGTGAGATGGTTCATCACCCAGCTCATCAGCATTTTGAAAACGGACTGCGCTGAGCTCCCCGTGTCCCCCGCCTGTGCCAAGCTCATCTCCAAGTCTCACCACCTGCTGATGCATCTGACTGAGCAGCTGGAGTCCACGGTGTCCCAGGCCCAGTGGGAGCAGCAGCAGCTGTATTCTGACCCCATGGTCATGGAGGGGACAGAAGCCCATGGCAAGCAGAAGGGACAGCAGACGCCTCGGATGTCCAGAGAACATGTTCTTGAAGACATGTATATATACAACTGGATCTTCGGGGCATTAGCAGCCCTGGTTATGATGCTGATACCTGTCATCATCGCCCTCTGCGTCAGGTACAGAAGAGCCAGAGTGGAAGATCCAGAGGCCGGGTGGAACCCCAGCGAAGAGGCTGAGCCTGCAGAATCAGCCAGTTACAGGGAGAGTGATGATGAGCTAGTGGAGGTGGTGGTCATCCAGTGACCTCGTCCTGTGAGTGACCAGCAAAGCTTATTTTTCCCTCATCAATAAAGACGTTCTTATCTCCTATTAAAAAAAAAAAAAGAAACTGGAAAAACAAAAAATTGGAGAGGCCAGTCTTGCTCTTTTTTTTTTTTTTTTTGGTACAGGGATTAAACTCAGAACCTTGTGCTTTTGAGGCAGGCAGCGGAACCACTGAGCTAAATCCCCGGCCCCAGTCTTGCTCTTTTATAACAACTCTCCCTTGAGAGAACTAACTGGGATCCTAGGAGAATTACATTAATTCCTTATGAAGGTACTTTCCCCAATGACCTTGCACTAGGCCTATTTCTCTCTCTCTCTCTCTCTCTCTCTCTCTCTCTCTCTCTCTCTCCCCCCCCCTCTTTTGCAGGCCTGGGGATTGAACCCAGGGGCTTTGTACTGACCTACAGTACATTTTTTTTCAGACAACGTCTTGCTAAGTTGTCCAGGTTGGGCTCAAACTTTTGATCCTCCTGCCTCAGCTGCCTAGAGTGATGGGATTACAGATGTGCACACCTATATCTACTTGGTCTCATTTCTTAAAACTTCCACTACCTGGAAAAATTGCCACGCTGAGGACAGAGCTTCCAACACATGAATCCTTGTGAGGCATGCTCAAACTATATCCTCAGTATAGCATAAAAAGAGAGAATCATGCCACCTGCCAGAAGGGATTGCTGTGAAGACTACACGTGGGCTCATTCATGCAGAACATTTAAAGACAGTGGCTGACATTTTTTTCTTTTTTGAGAATCCTCTGCAATTTCATGGCTGATTTCCTTTATTAGGCTGGGTTGGGTTCTTTATATATTTGAGTGATTTGATTCCAAGAAGGTATTTATAATCTTATTCTAGTACTCACTAGACAAGATCTTCAATCTGTTTTCCTTGGTTTTCTCCTTTCTAAAATGGAAATCAGAACAGTGCCCACATTATAGGAGTCCTGTGAAGATGAAAAGAGATCTGCACCTGCAATACCTAGTACAGGACCAGTGGACTGAGCCTCTATCCCTGTTAGTGATGATGTTTGAAATTACTTTTGCCCTCCCAGAGCATTTATGTTTAATGGGATTATTGCTATATTTGGACTTACATCAGCCATTTTGCTATTGCTTTGTCTTCTTTTTTGTTCACTCTTCCACCTTACTCCTTTTATTGTTGTGTTATGGTATAGAAATATATAATTCAGCTCTGCCCCAGGTCCTAAGACAGAACTCTTAAAAACCTTGAAGATAAGGGTGCCAGGAGAATCTTCCATTCTAGTATCTGGTCTTTGACTGGGCTCCTGACACAGAGCTCCCAAACCTTTTAGAATTTCCAGAGTGATAGGACATCTTTGGTTCTAATCAGGTGACTCTTGGTGGGCTTCTGGTTAGCCTCAGGTGGGGACTGGTTGCCAGGGAAACCAACCTTAGGCCTAGAAGTTTGGAGTTCTGAGCTGCACCCTGCAACTTCTGAAGAGGGGAGAGGGATTGAAGGCTGAGTTGGTCACATACAGCCAAAGGTGTAATTAATTATGTGCATGTAACGAAGCCTATACAGAAGCCCAAAAGAGCAGTGTTCAGAGAGTTTCTCAGTAGCTGAGCACGTGGGGTGCCTAGAGGGTGCAGAAAGGGATGAAAGCTCCGTGCCCTTCCTCTGTACCTTGTCTATCCATTTCTTCTACAACCTGTTCATCTTTATTCTTTGCCATATTCTTCATAATAAACCAGCACTGAAGCTGTCCATTCTTATGTCCTGCCCTGTTCTGGTGCTGACCCAGTGGTAGAGGGTGGGGGTGGGGAGCAGCTCTAGACAACACCACAAATTCACACTGAACTTACTCAAAGTTTAGCAGTTTTTCCAAGAATCAACATTTCTTAGATTGTTGTGCACCTTTGGTCAGTTTGCAGAGTGCTGAAATGGCAGTGGCTTGGTTAGTTTTGTTCAGCCTTGTTGCTTTTGAATCAAGATTTTTCAGTCTCCTTATATGGCCATAGTCTTGTTTCCCCTCCTCTCCACACATCCTGTCTGAACCTTGTTACCCTTCTCAGAACACTGAAAAATAGAGCTCTCTATGTGTGCCAGCTGTTACTTCCACTGACCAACCTTTTGAGGGAATATTGGTAATCATAAAATCTTAGTCTTCCCATCGGTGTGTGTCAAGGTTGGGGATATCTATGCATTGATTCAGCTCCCACTCTGCCACAGGATCACTTTCTTCAATGTTATAAGTCCTTAAGCCTCTGGGGATATTTAAATTCAGAATTATCATGTTTAGATTTGCTACTCCAAAAATATAGAATATGTGCCTTGGGGAAGCAAAATTTTTCTAACCTTCATCATTTGGTCTATATGCATTAAGGAGCTAGTTTTAAGTTCACATCCATGGTAGCTTACAATTGCAGAGCAGAGCTACGAACAGAGGAGGACAGAGATAAATTTCCTCATGGAACTGCCTACACATGGCCAGGGAAACCTGGTTGAAGGGAGAGATGGGGAAAATCCCCTGTGATGGAAGATGCTGCTGTGTGGACTAAGCAGCATTTAAGCCAAGGCACTGTAAAGACACTCTCTCTGCAGAAGGAATGTTTGATTTTCCTTTTTACCTTGAGAAAAACCACACACGTACACACTTATACACACGAGTACCATTTTTGGGGTTTCACTGTATCTCGTAGTGACTTTATTCCATGTTTCTTGGTAATTTTTACAGCTCCCCTGTTAGAATAAAAGTATGATTAGCTTATTTTACAGATGATAAACTGAGATTTAACACAGTTATGTAACCTTCCCAAGGTCAGAAATCTTGTGAATGGCAGAGATGGGCAAATCTTCCTGACACTGAACTTGAGTGGTCAGAAGAACCACTGTGAGCATCTTAGGTGTCACTGGGAATCACAGAGTACATATGAAAATATGCTCAAGGACCAGACAAAATGTTAACTTTGCATCTCAACAAGCTTCCCCATTTTATGACTAGAAAGAAAGCTTCGATGAAATTTTAAGGCAAAATGCCCTTGAAATTCTGGAGAAATGTGTTCCCCAGTTTCTTGGGTAGGACAGCGGACCAGCAGTTACTCCTCTCTTAGCACTTAGTGGGTGTACTGAGGTAGTGATAGGTACTTTCCTGCCCCCAGTTTATGACAGAAGCAGCAGGTAAGCAAAAGACTGATTTTTGCCCAAAACCTGGGCACCTGATAGCTGATACAGTACTGGGCCAGGCTCAGTGTTCTGGGGCCACAAGACATCTCTTATCTCATGGCCCAGAAGCAGACCATGGCTATAACGAAGGCACAGAGTATCTGTGCAGAACTGACTAAACAGCAGATTTCACCCTAACTAGCTGAGAGTGACAAAACCAAAAATGGGAGCAAGGCAGTATTTGGGCAAGCATTCTGAAGAGCGATTTTGAAACAGAAACTGGGTGGAATAAGCTCAGTACTGCACCGGCAGGATGCAGGGAAAGTGCTCCCAAGTAGCCAACTCTGGGCCTGGGGCCAAGCTCCAGTCACCAGGAGCTGTGGGAAGGACAGAGGCCTGCGGCCCTTGAAGGCAGATGCACTCTGTGCTGTGAGGCCTCACCGCTGCAGCACTAGCACCTGCCATCAGCTGCCTTTTCATTGAGAAACCAGTGATCGTGGAAAGGCCAGGGAAAGGTTTGTGAGCTGGTAAACATTTTTATGGGCTGATTGAATTCCCAAGTTCACTCTAGACTCAGTGGAGGTTAAGCTGTAAAGATTCCTGAATGTTTCCACATTTACAACCAGAAGGAACACATTTCAATACCCAGGGCCCCAGACCACAGGCTGGGGGCACAGGAGGGAAGGGCAGAGGTACAGTCACAGCATGGGCAGTGTTGTGGGCTCTGGGAGCTTGCCGTGTCTTCCTTCCTCCCTCCCTTCCTTCCTTCCTTCCTTCCTTCCTTCCTTCCGGGAAGTCAGGTGCAGGCTGATTCCTGGGGCTGCAGCAGGGAAATGTTTCTTTAAAATGCAGGGAAGGGCTGCTAGGAAGCTTCTAGGTGCTTCTCGGAAAAGAATGGACTTCAGCTAGAATACATGATCTCTTACTTATCTTTTAATGTATTGTTGCTATTTCAAAATATACCTACCAATTTTTACAATCCAATCTATTCTGAAAGCTAAAGAAATGTATATAAGGTGAACATCCCTTATTGGAAATGCTTGGAACTAGAAGTACTTCAGATTTGGGAGTTTTTCAGGTTTTTGAATATTTACACAGACTTTACCAGTACACATTGTAATCTAAAATTTCAAAATCCAGTATGTTCCAAAACCTAAACTTTTCTAGTATCGTGTTGGCACTCCAAAACTTTCAGACACTGGAGTGTTTCAGATGAGCAATGTTCCACCTGTATGAAGGTTTGCAAAGACAGAAGGTTTGGATAGAGAAGCTCATTTTACTTACTTGGAATTGTTTCTATCAACTGGTTCAAGTCCAGGATCATAAGATCCTGAGTTCAGGCAGGAGAAAGATCTAAACCCAGAAAGTCCAGAAACAAAGTCGGCGCTAGGCTTCTTCCTATGGAAAAAGCAGCCATGCTTTGGTCTAGATTTTTTTAAATCAATGGAATGCCTATGGCAGAGAGCTTACAGCAGTATGGAAGAATTTATCAACTACTTCCTGTGATTGCATCAAAGCAGAAAGGCAAAATAGATGCTCTTTCAAATTTCCTACATCCTGTTTCTGTGGAAGTGGCCCAGCTGGATGAGTCCCTTTTTTCCCAACCTCCAAGTCTCCTCTGACATGGAGACTCAAGATCTTAGAAGCTTTTAGGACTGTTTTGGTCTCTGGGGAATGACAAGGCCTCCAGGTGAAAAAAGAGCCAATCCCAAGGACCCAAAACCTTGAACAAACAAGGTTTATCACCTCCCAAACTGAGTCACCATCCTACTCTCATTCTGCCCACTCCATAGAGCTCTCAGAAGCCACACATGCTCCCTCTCTTATTGATTGACTGATTGATTATAAAAAACAGGATTATATGTGTATAATTTTGGTCCTTTTCTCTTATTCATCATGAGA